TCATTTATAAAAAGTATTTATTTACTAATTCAGGAGATAAGCTAAAACTTAAAATGTGACCTTTATGAGGTGTTACTTGCTTAAATGTTTCCATAAACCCTGATGAAGAAGTCAGATTACTTGGATCAATGTGACAGTCTTGTCACATAACCTAAGGGTTCACTTTCACACTCATTGGTTATTCTTCAACTGCATAGAGATACCTAATTTCTCAACTGCTTCCAACAACCCATGCTCCTCCTCCTCCTCCTCCCCTTCAGGTTTCTTCCATTCACTGTCTAGATCCCACTGTGAAACAATTTACCTTTTCTCTTGGCAATACCCCAGCTTACTCACCATCTTGGCTTCACCCATCCTAAAAGCCACTCAAATTCAGATTATCTATTATCTGGGGTGGAGAGAGTAACTCAAGTGGCAGAGCACCTGCCTAGCAAGTGCAAGGCCCTGAGTTCAAACCCTAGTACCACCAACAATAAATAAATATTAATTAAAATAAAAATAAAAAACCATTTATTCTGAATCACCTACTGAAAGTGGCTGAGGAAAATCACCAACTAGAGACTTCCACTGAGTCCACTAAGTGTTCACATTACCACTTCACTATGCTCTGCTCAGCACACTCCAAATTCCTACAGAGACCATTGCAAAGGTCCCCATTTCATCATTATTACCCAGTCTCCCAAGAAAAATGAAATTTCTTCTACCTCGCACACACAAAAATCAATAAAATACAATAACAAGTTCCTCAAGGAAACTTTTCCTCAGAGCATAGGTTGTAGACACCAGCTTAGTTGTACATCTTCTGTCCCAGTCAGACCTTGTTGAAGTTCAGAGCATTCTGCCCCTCCAAGATTCTGCTCTACCCTTTCTCGTATTTCCTTTATGTCATCTACCCTTCCCTGTCCACTAGCTCTATCCTCTGCCAGGCATCTCCTTCCTACTCAGCACAGCCAAGCTTTTTGAAAGAGTGGTTAAAGCTACAAACCTTGCAAGGACATACAGCATGACTTGTTCTCCTCTCTAATTCCAGTGCTACAATAGTTCTTGGCAGGCCCTCAGTAATAATTCTCATTGTTTGATATTGATGCTGCAAAATGCAGAAAACCCAATAGAGAATGACGCAAAATGCTTCAATGGGCACTGTATAAAACCAAGTATCCAATGGCCAAAAAACATATGAAAAGGAACTCAAAGTCATTAACCATCAGAAAAATGGAAATTAAAACTCTAAGGCTTCACTTCTAAATAACCATCAGATGGCCAAAATGAGAAAAATGAAAGTACCACAGCAGGGTGGGGTAGTTGGACCCCACAAGCCTTGTTGGCAGGAGCATAATCCCCATTTTAAAAAGGTAAGTGGCAGAAACTACTAAAGTTGAATACTGTAAACTCCTGATCCAGCAACTCCACCCTTAGGCTACACCCATCAGACATGTACTATGATAGACACACATGCACCATTTATCACAGCACAAATTAAAAATAACCCAAATGCATGGATGGTAGAATGAGTCAATTACATTCATACAATAGAATTCAACACAGCAATGAGATAGAATGAGTGCTACACACAACAGCCTGAGTTAATCTCATACTCACATAACATTGAGTGAAATAAACCAGACACCAAAGAAAACAAAGCACATGGCTTCGTACCTAGAAAACATAAAAAATAGGCAAAAATAAGCATATGTAAAAGCCAGAATGGGAGCTCCCCCGGTGTTCTATTGTGACTGGAAAGGAGCAAGAGAAGTGCTCTTGGAATACCGATAATATTCTGGTTTTTGATGAATCTGCTGTTTAGTGAAAGGTCATCAAACTGTCCACACCTTTTTCTATACATGTTCTATACACACACATACCAAAAATATCTGAAAATACTGATTTGCCCCTGATTCTCTCCTTATTCACAAAATGCTTGATTTCCTTCTCTGGCTCTCACTATGGACTCTAAGACCCTTTAAGCCACAGCTAAGTCTCACATTCTCTTTCATTGTAGCTTCCCTCCTTCTTGCACAGAGACTGGGACTTGTTTGCTCTCAACAAATGATTCTGAATGAAGATGAATCAATGAATGAAAGAATGGTCAGTCCCGCTGACCAATTCTGTTCTCTTTTATGGTGATTCTGAAGTCTGCATTTTCAGCCTCTTCACTGGGCTCCACATCTTCCTATCTGCCTAAAGGGCAGTGATAGTAATCTGTCCTCTCTTGGAGAATGGCTTGAGTCAGAAGCTTTATATAGATTATCTCTTTCACTTATCACAAACAGCCTGCAAGCTAGTAATTATTACCCCACTTTACAAACCAGGATACCAAGGGTCCCAGAGGGTAACATATATACCAATACATAGGGGAAAAGTTAGAAAAGTAGATTAGCACACATAACCACGATTCAACAACTGTAAAACATAGGTCATTGCTTTTCTCAAAGGCCTACTCATCTTCCTTACCCTAACCAATGTCATCGCTACCCACCTTGTCACCCACACTGCAATCCTGGGGATTGCCTTCTCTCCCATCACCCTTCACACAGACTCAATCACATAGCACTGTTTCCCAAGTTTGACAATCCAACCTGTGTGCACTATTCTTACTACAACATTAGTCCAAGCCTTTATTTAAGGATAACCATGACTGTGGGCACACTATGTCTTCCAAATCCAGACTTGGTTTCCTCTAATCCATGTTCATGGAGCCTCCTACAAGATTTTTATAAAATGCAAATCTGAGCATGCTTCTCTTCCATGCCTACAGAACAGAGGTCAAATACATCACCCGGGTATACTGTGCTTGAACTGGTCAATGCCAAGCTTTCTAGATCCTTCCCTGTAACCTCACTCCTCTTCCATCCATCCTGTAAACCAACCATGTGAAGATTTACTGCTCACTCAGGAAAGCACCTTGCTTTTCCCTGTCTCTAGGCTGTCTCTAGGGCTTTATCTTCCCGGACTGCCCTTCCCCCTACTGTCTATCAAATTCCCATCCATCCTGCAAGATGCAGCTCAGCATTTACTCCACTGTCCAGCCCTTCAAGCAAAACTGGGACATTGACTTCACGTCACAGATAAGCTTAGTGCATCCTTCTCAGCCCACTTCACAACATTTTGTGATTTTTTTAATAGTGTGCAGTCTTCATTTCCAGACATTAGCTCTTAAGGGCAGATACAAGCCTATTCTCTTTTGCATGTTGAGGCCAGCATACAATAGTAAGGCAAAATACTTAAACAACTGTATTAATAAACGAAACCAATTATATATGGGCCAATTATGTAGATATAGGTAATCTTAGTTGCAAGTAAGTCAAGTAAATCCAAAAGGAACAGTCCAAGCAGAAACAATGGAGGAGGATTTGGTCATTCCTCTTCGTGAACTCCACTAGAGAGTAGTTCAAAGCATTAGGTGAAAACGGCACTTGGATGTTGTGTAAGTGTCCTCCAGCCTCACATTAGTAATCTCCTTCCACTACCACCAGAGTCATCCAAGATGCTGAGTGGGGATAAAGTAAAGAGTAAAGATCCATACTGAATAAGATTGGTTCTTGTATCTCTAATCCCTGAATCCAGGGATCAATATTCAACATCAAGTTTTACATATAATCAAAAAGTGTAAGATTTATTAAAGATTATTCTCAGAGCAAGTTTTACATACAACCAAAAAGTATAAGATTTACTAAAGATTATTCTCAGAGCAAGTTTTACATATAACCAAAAAGTATAAGATTTATTAAAGATTATTCTCAGAGCAAGTAAGAGAACAGAAATTTTCTTTTATTTTCTAGATTGTCTAACCTGGAACACAGCAAAGAAAATCATTTTTCAGACGGTTCTATAATTTCTAAAATAGGGCAGAAACAAGGACATGTAAATAGTGAAGTAATGGTGTAGTCTCTCCTAATAAAGAAATTGAGCAAAAGACATGTGGGATTGCTGGAGATAGGTGTGGCTTTCAGGCATGATGAGAGAAGAAACTTGATGTCTGAGAGTTGAGCCAGAGGCTTAGAAAGCATGGTCAGGAATACTTAATTCACCAGCCACTCACTCCATAGCCACATGGCACTTGAGTAACAGGCAAGCAGCAGATGTCCTACAGAATGTGCCCCTTCTTACAGAGGAGAAAGCTGACTGCAGCATTCACCAGCCCCTACACTGAGTACGTGAATGCTATGATTTAACAGCTCTCCCTGGAATAAGAAGGGAAAGCAGGAGCCAAATGCCCCCCAGAGACACCCAGAAAACCAATAACTATGTGACATTCTGAGAGAAGAGTTTTTTTTTCCAGTAGCATTCTTAAGTCGCCTATTCTTCCTTCCTTGCTTGCTAGAGAGAGAGGAGAGGTGAGTAATGGTGGCCAGGCTAGCAAATGTAAAAGACCAGAGGGCAACTGACTGACGTGCACTCCAATTAGTCATCTGTGCACTAATGCCAGATTATAATATGCATATAAAAACATGTGGGCGAGACTTGGAGCACTGGATTTTTCCCCAAAAACTCACTCCCAACTCATGCTTTGAATGCATTTGTGTATACACACCCTCTGTTAAACTAGGTTCTGGTGTTGCCATGGAGCCGAAGCCTCCCTAGTTCAGATGGAAGTATCAGTCTGCTTTTATACTTCTAATAGCAGTGGTAAGAATCACTGCATAACATTAACTCCACCTGTATTTCAGATTTTCAATTGTCTTCTTGTTCTGCATGAATGCTATTTTTTTCACTTATTCTTTGTAAGATTACTACAATAAAAGATTCTGGCAAACCAATTCTTGTTTTTGTAACATCTGTATGCCAAAACTTGAACGTAAAAATAATCAGTGAGCTTCCTCCACCCATTTCCAAGAGTGTTTATGACCTTACTGTATCTAGAGGAGTTTATGAGAAGTGCAAAGTATAAACCAATCCATATTTAATAAATACACTGTGAAACATAAAACATAGCCAGTAGCTGTTTTCTCTGGCATAATAAATTTAAATTTATTTATACTCTGATAATTACATTTCAAATAGGCTTCCAGAATCAAAATCAAATCTAGAAGACTTTTGCAAATATAGATATACTTCTTCAAGTTCCTCTTGGATCTCATTTCAAAGCTCAGCTATAACTATTTGGAAAGTAGAGAAAAGAATTCTTTAAAAAGGAACATACAGGTTTTTCCTAGTACAAACTCAGAATCTACACAGTCCTTTGCTTTTGGATATTGTGTTTCCTATGAAAATGCTGATTTGACTGCTGCAAAAACCAGTGCAAAGGAATTAAAGAGAACAATCTTGATTTCCTACCTGAAAATCTGCTTTCGGTCCTAGTCACACGTTTTCACAATCTTGAGTCTCAACTTCTCAGGTAAATTCACCAATCTGCTGACAAGAAGTTACGTATTATGACTTCTCCTCCCACAGTGCATACATTAAAACATGACTATGACAATGGTCTTAATGCTAACCAGAGCTGTGAAACTGAATCTATCCATTTGATATGACAGTGCAAATGTGTGGAAGAGGGAGAGGCAAAACAGGTGGGTAATATATGCTGCGCCAACCTACATGTACAACTAGAGTGCTCAGCAAAATAAAAATGTTTAAATTAAAAATAATCCATGAGCAACAAAATAAATGGTGATGGCATTGGATGATCCATGAGTCTATACTGAAATCAGTCACTCAATGAAATATACAGATACCCCCTCCCTTCAAGAGATAAACCATAATTCTTCACCCCTTAAAAATAGAATACAGAAACAAGTAGTACCTTTACAGTAGAAAAACCTAACAGACTATACCTTAACCAAGTGATCAAGGTCATATGGCATGTTAGTATGACCTTCCCCCTAACAGAATGCAGAGATGCTATTCTGCACCACAACTCATAACTTCAGTCTACAAAATTTCTGTCCAACACTGCTCAAAAATGTCAATCTGATATGAAACAAGGGAGTACGGCATGATGTGCTATGTTATGCTATTACACATCATATTGTACTTTGTATTCTAGTAAATATTTTTAAAGTGAGCAGTTAATTAATGCTCAATGAACTTCTCAAGCCAATTGAATTGTTTAAATCTTTTAACCCACCATTCAAATAATCTGACCCTTTTTGGTGATGATTTTTTCACATAGTAATTTTTTTTCTACCTCTTTGACCTCAATGCTTCTAAAATACCTCAGTGACATCTTCAAATATTGCATACAAGGTTTTTTCTTAGCAAAATCAGTATGTATGTTTTCATACTGTCTGGCACCGACATGCCTGTTACTGATGATTCTGGCAATCATCTAGTACTTAACAGGCACACTTTCCATGTGCTTCAGTGGCACAGTCAGGCTGCAGTAAAATGTTCAAGACTTTCTGAGTACCCCAGCTACCGCCCCATGCTGCTTGTAGATAGGCATTCCCCAGCCTCTTGGCTGAGTGACAGCAACCACAATAGCCCACAAGGCAGGTGGAGAACTGATGAATAAAATGATAAATATTTGTGATGAAACAGGATGTTGGAGAGGGGGCCAGACTGGGTAGAATATCTCAACTACTGAGCCACTAAAGCTAATCTGGAAATCCTGACAGTGTCCCTTTGTTGTAAAACTCAGAACAGTAAAGAGATAGATCTTTTTTCTGGTATTTTCTCCTTTATTATAAATAAAGAATTACTAGTACTGAACAGCACAATATCATCCACACATAAGACTTAAAACCTTGGGCTTACTGAACCATAAGCACTGTACCCCAACAAATGTACACTTTAACCAATGATTTTAAAATATTTTTTTCAGGGTCACAGAGCACATTTTCAACAGATCTGCCCTTGCAATTGGTTGAATGTAGACTTTAAACCATGATTTCCACTCTTACCTATACCACATAATAACAATAGTGCTAATACAAAGGCCCATTAGCTTTTTTGTCAAGAGTAAATTCACAAAATTCTGAAATAAAGCACAATAGTCCACTTTGGGTGTCAACTCAGAGACTTCACTTTTATGGACTCTAATGGCTCAAGTGGTTCCAATTCATTTACACACTGATTCTGATATCTGATATCTGATATCTGCTGTGATGAAACATAGTAGGTGCTCTACCACTTGAGCCATGCCTCCAGCCCTTTTCACTTTAGCTGTATTTTTCAAAAAGGATCTCACATTTATGCCCTGGGCCATACTGGATTGTGATTCTCCTATTTGTGCTTCCCACATAGCTGGGATAACAGGCTTGCACCACCACACCCAGCTTTTTATTGGTTGAGATGGGGGTCTCACAAACTTTTTTGCTCAGGCTAGCCTCAAGCCATGATCCTCCTGATCTCAGTTTACCAAGTTGCTAGGATTATAGACATGAACCACTGCACCCAGGCTAAATACACATTGGACTCATTTTTAATGAAAATGTTATCACCAAAAATGTCTTCTTTCATAGAGTACACAATATGCATCTCTATCATCTATTTCACTCTTGTCTTGCTTTACTAATGACTGCTGAAACAAAGCAAGGTAAGAAATAGCCAAAACTAAAGCACATCTCAGTAGCAATTTTCTACTTCCAACAAATCTCAGAAGACCTCTTCCATGGGAAGACTCCTGAGTAGTCAGTCATTTTGCTACATAAATAAGGAAACAGAATGTCATAGCACTGTGGAATGAGGATAAGAACAAGAACTGACAAAGATTGTAGCAAGCTCACTTACTGCAGTTAAATATAAATGTAGAACTTTATACCAAATAAAACTTAAATTTCTAGTAATCTTAAGATTTACAAACTCAATTGTACTGTCTGAATTTCCACTAGTATTGGCAAGTACTCCAAATGAAGAAAAAAGAAATTATGTACATGGATTTGAGAACACACATTCTACTTTAGCTTTCCACCTGAAATACGGATCCTCACCAAATACGACTTACCCATCCTTTTTATGCACTTCTCTTTAAAAATCACTTCCAAGAAGCTCAGTAATTAACATTTGGGAAAAAATGCTACAAAAACTGACCACAGTGCCATATACACCCTCCTTTAAAATACAGATACTTCCCTAGAAATCTGTTGTTCGTGCTGAACAATAGGACACCAAACTTGAAAAAGGCAAAATAAAGCCTGTGAGAAAACAGAGTCAGTGCAGAATAAGAGATGAAAGTGATTTTATTCCAAACACTATCCTATACACAAACTCATAAATTTCCTATCAGTACACTGAGGTCAAAAACCTAACTTAATACAGACTTTAGTTCCTAACCCATTTCTGAATGAAAATAAGGCAATCCAATGCAACTGATTGCATGATCAAAGTTTGAGATAAATAGCCTTTTCTTACCCCTCAGAAAAATATCTCTACCCACTCTACCAATTAATACTGAACATAAAACCATAACCTATCAATACTTTGGAAGAGTAGTTTATTAACTCTTGATTTTCATCTACACCAAAATTCATCCTTAGACTTTCTAAGCATATCAGATATTCAACTTGACAACCCTGTACTATTACAACCCTGTACTATTACTTATCAGTTATCATGAGTAACCCTTTCTTGTTAACAGTTTAGGTGATTTTGCTCACCTATTTATTTTATATTTTGATACAATAAATTTATCTTTCAAAACTACTTAGGGAAAAATAGGAAAAATAATTTTCCATTAGCTTTTCAAATTTTTCCTCTCCTGTATGAAATACTACAAGATATATGGAAGTCCTATCTCTAAACATACTGTTCAACTATCTATAAAATAAACTAAATACTTATCAGATAACTTTGGTTATTTAAAAATGATTATTTAAACAATCAAACCATAAAAAGCAAATGTTGAAATGCATTATAAATTCCAAAAGAACTTCCCATTTACACAATAGAATTTGAGGCTCAGAAAAAGATCACCAACAACAAAGCATAATTTAGATAACCAATAAAGGCTTGCTAAAATGATTTTTGCAAATGACCAGTGATTTGAAACCGTATTTTAAAAATCATTTTTGCTACTTAAATTTTAAAATCAAGACACTGGAAAGTAGTATCATAAGTGCTCAGGAACAAATGGAAATTAACATTTAAAGTATTATATAAATACAAGACTTAACTATTTTGTTTTAAAAACATGAGACTGGATACATTTCTTAATTTACTAGCCAGATTCACTGTATTCAGAAGTTCTTCAACAGTTTTCATCTACCATTTAAAAATCTGTCAGTAAATCTATATTTAATCTATAAATTTTATATAATTGATGAGATTCTTTAAATGTTAATGATAAAAAACTAATGACCAGTTACCCTCCAGTTTGGCCATTCCATGATTCTAGAACACACAATTCTAAAATAAATCAATCCTGCTGACAGTAGACCAAGAAGCAACATGAATAATGATAATTAGAGAACCATAATATCCTTATGACTACAACTTTTAAACACCTGTGAAATCATACAGGAAAAACCAATCCGAACAGATAATCCAAACGTGACAAAGATACAATTCTTAAACTTATAAAATAGCAAAACAAAAATTAAATCACATCAAGAAAAAGAACTAAGTATATGGAACAAGAAATAATATGTAGGCTGGAAGAGTGGCTCAAGTGGTAGAGTGCCTGCATAAGAAATAATATGCAGGACATATAAAGAATTTTCATAAACTTCTTTTTTCAACATTAACTATGTGCTAGGCGGTAGCTCAGTAGTAGAGTGCTTGCCTAACATGCACAAGGCCCTGGATTCAATCTCTGATACGAAAAAAATAAAAAACAAAAAAAATTAACTATGAAATAAATTAGAAAAGATATGACAAGTCAATTCAGAACAAGAATTATAATTAATAAAGAAAAGTCACTACTTATTTTTAAAGTGCAAACCAAAAATGGTGCAGTGAAATTTTTTACTTTGTTGCAATTTTGATAAAGGTGGAAAATGATCTGAAAATAGGGACCATGTATATAATAAAAATATTCATACCCTTCAACAAATAGCCCCACAGGAAAAAATCAAATATTCAAAAATAAAGGGATTTTTAGAAAATTATAAACATTAGTTTATGCAGCCATTAAAATTAAAATCTGGAAATTGGCAAACTGAAAATATTTACAACAGTAAGATTTTGAAAATAAGGATTTTATCAATATCATAATTATAACTATTTCAAATGTGTATAAGAAAAGACCAGAGACTATACAAGGAAAACATTTAAATCAAACTGATACATTAAAAGATGATGGATATTTATGTGTCTTTTCTGTATTTTGATATGATATTGCTTGTGTGATGAAAACTTGACAAGAATTTGAAAGAACAAATGAGTTACAGTAATCAACTCCGAAATAAATATCCCAAATGTATCAACCTGTACCTTCCATAAAACAATGACTACTCTACAATAGAATCTGTCAGAGGCCAGATCTCCAAAACCAAAGCAAGATTAAATTCTACATTAAAAAAATGTAGACATTAATGTATGCTCAGGTTTGTTTGGTTGGTTTTTAAGTTTTCTGTAGAATGCGATGTTAAGCATTGTTCATTTTTACCCTTTTAATTGTATCACATCCCTTATTTCTACATAAGTTCACATACACCACCAAATCAGGTTGTTTGAATACAGGCAGTTCTCAGCTTACCAACACCTGACGAAAACCAAAAATAAAACCAGCTGCTGCTGTCCTGGGTTGTCTCCTTCTAACACTACCAGAGGTCTAGCTGTTACCCCTGTAGAGAAGCAGCTGTTGTGAAGAAATCTTAAACTCTGTAGAGAATTTGAGGGGAGAAAGATTAAAACAAAAGCAAGAACAGATAGGAAAACCACACTAAACCTGTCCCTCACCTCAGTAATTCTCAATAAACCGTGAATGAAAGAATGCATGAATGAATGAATTTCCATGTTTACCCCTGTAGTTTGAACCTCACTACTTGGCTCCAATCCTGCTCCAACAGCCTATTAACAACCCTCCTTCTTGAGCTCCTGATTCATGGAGCTGGAACTAAAGAAGGAAGCCCCAACATAAAAAATAAACAGCTGTGATCAACAAGCTATCCACTGCATGCTTTGGGGGAGAGAGCCTGAGTCCAGGACCAATCCAAAAAGACCTATTTGCAAAAGTGCAGGCAGATAGCACATGACAGAGAGGAGTAACTTACAATGGTGAAAGAAAGCTGGAAATGAAAAGTTTCATTTAGAACAGCTTATTTTAAAAATGCTGAAATAAGAAACTAGAGAAATAAGCTCTTAGTGTAATACAGTAAATATGGTATCAAGGTGAAGGTGGGGACTCGGACTGGTTTGGGATGAATCTCGAGACCTCCCCCCAAGAGCTCCAGTTTGATACATTACTCCAAGTTCACTTGGATGGCCTTAAACAATTCAGAATTATTTTTAAAACATCTGAAGTCCAAGAACTTCTCAATTCATTTCACCTTAATATTGTTAACTAATTATCTTTTGAAATTTAGAGTCACTCCATTGCTCAAAATTATCTTCTTCTGCTCCCCCTTATCAAGTAAACTAGAGAAATTATAGAAACTCAAAGTTGAGAGAGCTTAAAAAACTTTTTAGCTCAGTACCCAATGAAAGGGATGAAGCAACTTTACTCTTCCATTCAACATCCATCCCAAAGGATCCAGTATGCACCTGATTCTCTGACCAGACTCCTGCACACTTCCTGCCTCATCTTTCATTCACAGCCACTATGCTGCAAGGTGCACCATTTGTATGAGTCCACGCTGTGTAGTGCTCAGGAATTTAGCAATATCCAACTCTTGCAGCATCTTATGAGGTGATCCTACTTCTATTTGTAACATTACCACTACCAGGAATGCCATCTCCCCTCCCATCTTTGTTTCTACAAATACTAGCCATACCTCAAGGCCTGTATCTTCCTCAGAATCTTTCCTGCTTCCTGCAACTGGTCCTAATCTTTTGCTCTGAACTTTTACTGCATTTGGTTTATGCCTCTTGTTTTGCATCTACTGAGTTAGTCATGCATGCATCTTATTACCAATGCTAGACTGAATACTCCCTGAGAATGCAAATGGTACTAGATCATCTTTCTTTCTATATAGTTCCTAAAGCATCACCCAAGCAGAACAGGTATGTAGATCATAGTTGGCTATCATTTCCAACTGGGAAGGAAAAGGAGATGATTCAGAACTAGGAAGTTTCAGGGTATCGTTTTGACTAAAATGAAATATAACAATCTGAGATCTAAAACTCAATTTTCTTACCTTGACCTTAGGGCCCAGTGAGTTGAGAGGAGTTGCTAAGTGTCATGATGTTACTGTCAAAAACATACTTTCCCCTATGTCAGAATTTTGCCTAAAACCAAATGTGTACCTACAGAAAAGGGCTTTCTGTAACCTCTTCCTTCCTCCCCATGACAAAAATAAATTTCAAGTTCTACAACCAATTAAAAACACAGTTTTGAAGCAAAGTGCAAAGTAGCCAAGCACAATTTAATTTGTTTTACACAGTATCAGAAATACTGTTTCAGCTAGGCATGGTGGTACAAACCTGTAGTCCCAGCTACTCACGAAGCTGAGGCAGAAGGATACTCGAGCCCAGGAGTTCAAGGCCAACAAACATGATGAGATACAGCTTCTAAAAATAATAGTAATAATAAAATAAAATACTTTTTTCTTTTCCAGTTAACAAAAGTCTAGGAAAGAGCAAGTTTAAAGGACACCAATCTGAAACACTTGGAAATCAGGTATATAATTTTAGAGGTAACTAAATATGGTTTTCTTTACTATATGGAGCCCACATGTCTGCCTAGTACAAAATATGCATTTTTGTAATTAGTATGCATATTAAAATATCTACTTTTAATAGATGTACCATGCTCCAGGGAAACCATTATAATCTATTAAATGATAATTATCACATAAAATATGATTCAGCACTAGCTATATAAAAAAAGATGTCTTCACATTGGTATACACAGATTTCTACCTAAACATAAATCTGTCTGAATATTTATAGTAGAGCACATTAATTATAAAAAAGCTTAAATGTGACATTCCCATACACGTATATAATTTACTTTCATCATATTCATCCCCTCTACTACTTTCTTATTCCCCCACTCCTCTTTTTTTAAACTATTTTAATGGTTTCATTATTCAATTTTCATGCATTCATATTTAGACTAAAATATGTTGTGTTTATATGGCATTGAGATGCTGAATATTGGTTGATGATTCAAAATATTTTAGTATATAAATACATACGTGGATATTTATGATCCCAAAAATACATCCTATACATTTTAAGAGAATTTAAATATGAGCAGGACAAGAAAGAGAACAGTATGAAAGAGGAGATAACTGAGAATGAACTATGTACTAAACACACTAAATAAGCCTTAGCATATTGAAAATATTTGCAATTACACACACTAAACTGCAAAAAGTACTCGCCTCTTTTTAATCGGAAATTTCTCCAGGTCCTTATCATGAACATAGATCACCATAGCAAACCTAGTTATTTATTTATTTTGATTTACTAGAAGAATCCTATGGAGCTGCTCCTGTGAGTGAGCTCAACACTAAATTCTGGGATACAGCATCCAAGAGAGCAGGCATGGTCTCAGCCTTGCAAGCTTGTGAGTAGAAGACTCACAAGTCACCACTGTTCCATTAGGGCAGCTCTCGGGAACATCACCATGCATTTGCCTGTCTCTTAATTCTTCAGCTTTCCTCTTGGTCTGTACTTTTTGTTCTACATTTTAAGGTCTTATTTCTGAATTTTATGCTTTATCTATGCCCTGTGTCACTTTCAGACTGTCAGATATTACTTCTGCAATCAATGTGCCATAGCTTACTGGTGACACTCTTTCAATTTGCTTTCCAAATACTGCCCTAATCTTCTCTAGAGGATCAGAAGATCATCAAGCCTGTTAAAAACAAGCTCTGGGTGGAAGCTGAGGGGGTCCTTTTATATCAGTGTTTTGAGGAAATCATCTTATGCATTATCTATTCCTTCTTTATGATTTGATATTTTAAGTGTCCAGACAACCCTGGCATACATTTAAGATAATTTAAACAAATGTTTCACCCTCAAAATTCCCCACCTCTTCTTTCATCCTTTTCTTTAAAAAAAAAAAAAAACTTACACTTTGCTTAAGAGCAATACTCCCATGCCAGAAACATCTTCTATACATATAGTTCTTAGAAATGGCATTTTTATACATAAACCCCTATTTCTCAAAGAACAGTCCTCAAGCATCTGCATCAGAATTGCCTGATTTGCTTCTTAAAATTCAGGTTTCCTGCAAACCATCTCAGACCTACTGAATCACATTTATAGAATCTGAGGACCTGAATTTTTTTAAGCACCTTTGGAGACTGCTGTACATGGTACAGCTTGAAACCACTGATCTAAATAGCTAAGCAGTGCTTACTGAATATGTCAGTCTGAAGCCTCATGTCCTCTATTTAACTGCCATAATGCCACATTCACCGAGGGCCACTCTCTGCAAGGATAAAATTAATTTTTAAAAGTTCAAGAAAATCAAGTTCAAAGTCTGTCTCTGCCCCAAGGAGTTTCCATTTTAATAAAGAAGACAAAGCACAGACATATGAAAAAGACTTAAAAGCATACACAAGCAACATTTTGGGGAGTCCAGGGCATTGTGGGAACACATGCTGAGAGGGGAAGAATCAGAAACTGAGCCAAATGAAGTTAGGACTCAGAAAGGAAGATTCCAAAGCAAGACTGGGGCAGAATTAAAAGAGAGATTTTCCAAGTGGGTCTTGAAGAGATGTGAAGATTGCCAGAGGACATTTAAGATCAAGGAGAAAATATGTATAATCATATCTGTTGGAACCACAGTCAACACAAAGAGAAAGAGAAATGCCCTGCAGAATTATAAAAACGCTGAGATGCTGCTTTGGAAAAGTCAATGTGAAAAAGTTTTTTTAAATATATATTATCTTTTGAGGCAGACAGGAGATATTGCTACCCCCTGTTTATAGCTGAGGAAATGAAGAATCACCTGAGACCCTTTGACTGAGTTCTTATTGCAGGATTGAGATTTGAGATGGATCTTTCCTTCTATCAGGGACTCTTCTTTGCCCAGTCTGACATGTGCCCAATAGAAGAATCATTAATTCATTATCTCTAATTCAAAAGAGTAGGCCAATCAAAAACATGGTGTAGTCTCTCCATCCCTGGATGGAGGGGAGGGAACTGTGTGTATGCTTGCATGTGTGTGTGTATGTGTGTGCACATGTGTGTGTGCACGTGCCTGTCTGCGTGTTTACATGCAGGACATGTATATGTGAGGATGAGAGAGCCACTGACTCACTACCTATCATTTCTTAACTAATGATTTCCTGCATCTTAAAATGTGCTTCAGCAAAGCAGATTGTAAAGGAAAAGCCAAACTCCATGATTTGTGATTAAGATAATCATACGAGTTCATCATATTGAGTTACCCATATGCATGCTTTGTCTGGATGCGATGTCCACTGTGGTAGCCACAGCCACATATGACTATTAACTATAAAATTAACATTAAATAAAATCCAAAGTTTAGTTCCTCAGTTGCACTAAACACATTTCAAATTCCCAAAAGCCACATGTGGTCAGTGGTTAATACGTAAACCAGAGCAGATATAGTACTGCCCATCATCAGAGAGCCACCTAAAGAAGAGTGCTCTTGGAGTGTCTGTCTTTCCAGAACTACAACTACAGATCCCAATGTATATCTGTCCCTTCCTCCAAATCTTTGCAAGCCCTTCTAAGAATCTCATGTGTTCCTCCTCAGAAATTCCTTAATCCATTTTGCTCTTTCTGCAGTCACTTTCATCTTGGCTTCATAGGTATGTGCAGTGCACTTCCATCTCCCCTACAGCTGGGTCCTTAAGGCCTGCGAGGTCATATTTGCACACTCCCTCACAACATAACACAATACGCCAAGTTCCATCAACACAAGTCACAGCCGTGTGCAAAGACTACTAAGTAGAACACTTTACTAGTGGGAACACCAGAGAATAAAAATGTAGATATGAGAGAAAGAAAGCAGTAACAGTCTAAGACATGGTAAGGTTTTGTGAACATTGCTGTAAGGCAATTGCTTACATGGAAACATTACACTGCTACACATTTAGAAGGAGAAGAATCTCAAGTTATTTTAGAAGCAGGTATGAGCAGACATCAAGTGCAGGTTAGCACACATCAGCTGGGAAAGTGCTGTACTATTACCTGCATTGTGGTGCTGTCATCAGCCAGCACACCAAGACTGATCCCTTGCTATTACAAGGTGACAAAACCAGCACTCACATTGATCTATGGGGACTAGACTGCTTAGCTTAGGACCAGCTTTTCAAAAAGTATTTATCAATTCCATTCTTACTCATGCAGTTATAACACCCTCAAGCCTCAAGCCTCAGAATCCAGACGAAAATGACTTTCACTCTGAGAACTCCTTCCAAACCACTAAAAAAGACATTCATGCTATCATTTGGATAGTTTCAAAATACCTGAAATATGAACAATATCTCATTTTTTAAAACTGTGAGGGGAAAATCCCATGTATCAAGAGATGCTGGATACCCCTATGAAGATGGAAAATATTAAAAAGGAAGAGTGAAGTGATCACACCGAACTTCACCACGTACTCTTTATTCAGCCCACCTTAATGCAGTTTCCCATACTTCATTGAGCACCTGGGCACTTTCTCACAAGCCTTGGAAGCTAGAGATACCTACAGGGCCACCTTAGACAAGACGAAAGGGGACTTCACAGGAAATGAAACCAAGCAACAGAGTGACAGCACCTCTGATGACAATGGAGAGATTCAAGATAAAGACGGGGTGGGGTGCTGAGAGAGGCCTTCAGAGGAAGTGAAACTTAAAATGGGGCTGAAGGCACACCATTTTCCACAAGTAGTCAACCACTCTTGCCCCATCCTCACCTTTCCCCGCATCTCCTGGCTCACCACCATGGTCGCTCTTCTTCGCTGTTAACACTACAGATTGACAAAAGTGCCACACCAAAAGACCAACCCTGCAAAGTCCCTGATCAACCAAACCACCAACTGCAAGTTGCACATCTGCATATACCTCTCCCACTCTGCTGTTCCCCAAACCTTCGTTATCATGCTCTTGATTTATGAAAAAAAGTCTCCTGAGAAGTGCTCAGGGTTTATAATCATACACAGTATGGAGTACAATGGCTAAGTGCCCAGGCTCTGGAGCCTGGCTCTTGGATGAAAATATGGGCTCCATGGTGGACCCATAACCTTGGGCCAACTACTCACCTCCTCAGTGCCTCTATTTCCCCCTCTGTCAACTACAGTTATCTTATATCATTGGATGTAACCTGTCCACCAAATCTAAGTTATATGCATTCTTCCATATTTTAACATTTCTGAAATCAAAATGTGTCTTACTGACAATGTCATCTTTCAATTAATCAGAAACCTTGTAACTCTTTCTTAGAGGTATATCAAATATCATCTTATATGGACGGCACCTATGAATTTGTTGGAAACACTACAGCATAAGATTTGGTAAAGTTCACCTAAGTAAAGTATTTAGAATAGTTGGCCTTGAGTAAGCTACTCGATTATTATTAGTTACTATTATTAAATTAATAATTTTGAAAATGGACAGAGTCAGAAACAGAAAATCCTGGTTTTACCCACAAGTTGTGTATTAAAATGATGGTTGATATTGGGTATAGTAGCACATGTCTTTAGTCCCAGTTACTCAGGAGACTGAGGGAACAGGATTACTTAAGCCCAGAAAAGTGAGGCGAGCCTGGTAACACAGTGAAACTTTGTCAAAAAAAAAAAAAAGATTGTTGGTGCTCAGAGGTTGGTAAGAGTAAATATCTAATCAAAATCTTATATATCCATAGCCCTTGGCACAGTGCCTGGTTTACAGTAGGTCTCAGTAAATAACTGCTTCCAAAATCAATTGAATTAAGATCCAACCTTATTCTTGCCAAAGACTCTCTGTCATACATAAAATTCTGTAACCTCTTCTACATAAGGGGCTACCAGCAGGCATGTGATTATTTTATGCTAAATGACAAATATCAGATTCTTACTTTTTAAAGACTGAACACTTCCAGGTTTTTGTGATTTTTCTCTTCCCATAATACCCTCTACCTCTGCTTTCCACAAATTTAAATCCTGAACCCTCTCCATTAACACTCAATTCAAATTTCATCTCCTCTAAGAAATGTTTTTCCAATTTAATTCTTCCCATTTGCCTTCTTTCTATTCCCACAAATCACATTCATCTCAGCTCCCATAAATACCTGATTTGGACCTGACTGGATAGAATAATAGGGTTAATCTTATGTTAAAATATATGTAAGAACAGGAATTGTGTCTTAATTGTCACTACCTCCCCCAGAAGGCCTTAGACAACAGGGAAATCCTCTTAGATTGAATTTGACTCCTCTAGTTATACATTGTGTCCCCAAAAAGACCTCAGAATGTGACCATACTTGGAAATAGGGTCACTGCAGATGTAATTAGTTAAGATTATGTTATACTGGAGTGGGGTTGGTTATTAATCCAGCATGAGTGGTGTCCTTATAAGAAGACAGAGACACACAGGAAGAATGTCAGGTGAAGACAGGGCCAAGACTGGAGTGATGACAAGCAAGGAATGCCCAGGCTTGCTGGTTTTTACCAGAAGCTAGTAGCAGGGCCTTTCAGCCCTCAGAAGGAACCACCTTCAGCCTCCCGAACTGAACGGGTAGCTACCTGTTGTTCTCAAGCATCTGTTTGCAGCTCTTAATCACAGCAGCCTTAACAAGCAAACACACACCACCTCTCCTCACAACACAAGTTGTGACACTGGACTTTCTTCACTGTTGTTCTTCTACAGCTAGCCTTTCCTGATCTTCTTGTGGACTCACTCTTGTGTATCAGGACTTTAAAAGTTGGGAGTTCCTCTAGAGTCAACCCCAATATCTTCCTTACCCTCTCATGTTCTCCAACTCAAAAACTCTCTGCAAAGTATCGGCTCCCATACTTCTATCTCAATCTCTCCTCTCCTCCAGATCCACATGTTCAACTGATTACTTGACTGACTACTTGTCCACTTAGATAATTCAAAGCCACTTTAAATTCAACAAATCAAACTCACAAGTTGCCACTCTCTTAATCCCACTCTCCCTTAAGTGCACCCATTCCAATGAATGGTGCTTTCTCCTGCGCAGGTACACAAGCCATATCCCTAGGATTCACTATTGCCTATTTCTTTCACTCTCCATATCCAATATTAAGCCAGTCAACTTCTTTTCCTTGAAATAGCTCAAATTCTCAAATCTCCTACCCTTCGCTATTCTCTACCGCAACTACTCCAGTTTAAATCTACTGTAGTGGATTAATCCAGTTTAGTGACTCACTTGATGGATTATTGCAATGGCTTCTTGACTAGTTCTAGATTTACTCTTAAACCCTCCTCATATCACAGAAGTAAATTTCAAAACACAAATGTGATCTTTTCATCCCCATGCTTAGACAACTTCTATGGTATGGCTTTACATTCATTTTAGGGTAAAGACTAAAATCCTAACCTAGTTTTACAAGAACAGCATGCACTGGACCCAGGCAAGTCTCCCAGCTTAATCGCACTCTCATGTCCCTTGTTCCTGGTGCTCTGGCTGAAGCTGTGTTCCTTTATGTCTTTGATCTGAACCAAGATTCTACCCATCAAAGAACTCCTGTGCATACTGGAGCATCCACCAGCCCCTAAAGCTCGTTTAATGACTCTTCATCAGTCAGTCGGGGCTCAAGACACCACATTCTCTGAAAATCTTTCCCTGGTTTTGTCAAGGAGATGAAGATTCTCTATTCTTCTCTCTCCTAATACCACATTCATTTCCACCATAGCACTGATACATAACTTGGAATAAGGCACTGCATGATTATATATTAATATGGAGAACTGTCCCCAACAAGTATTGTTCCTGCTATATCGCCAGCTCCTAGATCAGTGACGGGCACATAAAAGACACTCAATAAATATTGTACACAAGTTAACAGTAGACCAACATATGTGTTGAAAGAAGGTATTGTGTTTTAATTATCCCCTATATTATAATGTGAATACTCTGTGAAGAAAATGTACATGGCTTTTTTTTTTAGGTTTCCAAAAGCTTCACAATGGATATACAATAAATGCTATAGGCAATAGTTCTGTATAATTTACCTAGATTTAAATACATTTCTTCCAATATGGTATTGCTAATGATTATGCTGCCATAAACAATTATTAATTTTTGTCATTTAGTCACAATTTCAAATCTGATTAATTGATAACATATTTTCTACTCTTATTCTAATAGTCTGGGTACGAGTAAGTGAAAGTTAAATAATGATGTCATATGTGATGTACTGTTGATTTTATCACTAATTTTTCTCTTCCAGGATTATCAACTTACTTGATATGAAAAATAGAATATGCTAATAATAATGAGAAAAATAAAGAACAAATATTACATCACCAAAAGGAAAGACTCACTTACTCCAACCCAATGGAAAAATTTTCCTAGTACAGGTCTTGATGCAGTAGCTAGGAAGGGAACAAGAGTCCCCCCCTGCACAAGCAAAACATTGAGTGACTTCCAAGTGAAATTTACAGCACAGAGGCTAACACACCTCTATGTACATGTGAATTCCAAATTAACAGATTTTATTTTTATCAGTACTGATAACAGCAAATGGAACACATCTTTTCTAAATGACAAAAAAAAGTTAGTATTTCAGAACTGCGTTCATTATCTTAGAAACAAAGTGCTATTTGTCCACATAGCACAAATACCATCAGAATATTTGTGCCTCAAACCTTGGTACAAGGAAGTCCAAGATAAAGACAGCAAAGCTAAGTGACATCCCACTCGCAACTCCATAATGTTGTTGTACAGCTTTAACAAGAATCCGTTAATAATGAAATGAAACTACCACCAGTCTTTGTATGTCCCTTCGCCATACCTGTTTCTTCACCCTCCTCCTCTTGCTTTCCTATTTATTCTCATTATTAAATGAGTTCAAGAGTTAACACTGTGACAACACCCAGAGGGGCTTCATGGATGCAAACGCTGCTGCCACTCCCAGGGTGATATACATCCTCCTGGACCGACCGCCTTATCTTTGGGTTCAGTATTTAACCATAAGAAAACGATGGCAGCACCAACAGACCACATGCCTCCCCACTACAGCACTCAGACATTCTACACTGCCTTTGCATCTCTGCAGGCCTGTGGTTCTTTCAGAACTGTCCTGGAGACTCATGCCCATGAGGTCATGCCCAGCTGACCTCTTCAGAACGTGATACCCTGAAGCACAGCTGTAAAAATAGAGCACTCTCTAACAACTTCTTATTCACCAGTAAACAACAGAATATTCTCTCAATTTTAAGGAAGTAACACGTTCATATCATTTTATAAATACAAGGGGAAATGAATGAAAGAGCCTTAAGTTATATAAATGTATTCTCCCATGACCAAGCTATATGAAAACAGACACACGGGTTCCAATCATTCAGAAAACGGTGATGGCACACAAGCAATTAATTGAAAGAGGCTGAAGTCTCAAATTAAGTTATTACCACTATAATTCCCTTTTAAATATAAGCTAACACTTTAGGGCATTCCTTCATAGTACATAATTCCTACATATTAATTTTCAAGTCATACAATTTAGATTTATTTTACTTAAAACAGCATTCTGCTTTGGGGGGGCAGGAGGAAGGGAGAACGATGGAGGAGGTAAATCTAAGATATGTTATAAGCACATATGTAAATATCACAATGTATCCCCCTGTGCAAATATTATATGTTAATAAATTTTAAAAATAAATTTTTTAAAATTCTGCTTTCATTTAAATGTCATTATCAATTCCAAGTTTACCTATCTATGCCACTATTCTACCTAGTTTAATAACATATTCACTCACATACACCGGCTTTCTTAATTCCAGTATATATTCAATGTGTTTTTATTTTCGGTCTACAAAAACACAAGCAAATGAAGAGGGTGAATATGGCTGGTGTACCTTCTATACACCATTGAACACTGAAACCTGCTGAAGTTATTTTAAGAAGGGGAAAGAGGTAGAAGGGAGAACAATGGAGGGGATGAACCAAACCAGAGTATAATATATTATATGTACATATAGAAATGCCACAACGAAACCCCCTGTATAACTATCATATACTAATAAAAATGTTTTCAAAAGAACTCTAAAAATTATAAACTTCTGAGGCCTCAACTCTTCCTCAATGTCTCAACGTCACCTCAACTCTTTAAGGAGACAAAATCAAAATAAAAAGAATAAAAGAAAACAACAAAACAGTATTGTTGAATTTCCTTAAGTGAAATACTTCAAAATCCTCTTCTCTTTTCCTGATAATAGTGGCTTTCTTCACCAGTTTCAAAGCTTTGTATTTTAATATTTGACTCAAAATTGTACTTTAAAAATAAAAAAGTGAATCCAACTACATTCTTGCTGGATAGATCAGGAATGTGCTTCACCTGCTGAAACTCAAACCAGGAACTGTCTACAAATACCTTCTATGCAAATCTAGGTCCACAGGAATCTCATATAGAAGCTTTTTATTTTTCTTTCAGAATCACACTGCTCTTCCTGAAACAAAAGTCATAATGCAGCTTCTAACATGAACAATTTTTCATCATTCCACTCAAAGGCTAATTTCATAAATGAGACTTATTTCCTTTCACAAATAAAGTCTATGTTCAAATCTATTATATAGCTTTAGGAAATAAAATGTAATATACATTAACTATACAAAACTAGTAAAGTAGCTTTTAAAACAGTGGTAATTGTAAGTTTGTTTACTAAAAAAAAAAAAGATACCCTGACATGACCCTCAATCTGTTCCTTACACACTTAATGTGACTATTCTCAAGTCATATTAGTAAATTATGGATAATTTATGGCAACTCAGCATTGGTCATTAATCTTAAACAGCTAAGAATCTATGTCTTCAAAGGAGGTTGAAACATCTGTGATAATCACCTATTCAAACAATGTAACTACAGGAGTTAATGAACACTCTGTTCTAAGGATATTTTTAAAGTCTTTAGACATAAATTAACCTTTTAAAAGCATTCCTATAGTAGGAAAGTTAGTTCCATGATATAAAGTTAATTCTGTTCCTTGTAAAGACACAGTACTCAGTCTTTCTATGAGCTGAGCAAACATTTCCTTACCATTCATTTAATCTCCAAAGATAAGAATTATAGCCCCATTTTGCATAACTGCTACATAAGGTCACAGAGTTACAGCCAAAAAAGAAAGTAACAAACATGAGAATAATGTCCCTTCTGTAGTATTCAGCTACTTATTTATCACTTAGTTATCCTGGTATCTCCCAAGTCCTTGCTTCCAAAGGTCATGCACTCAGGGCTGGCGTTGGTCCACCCCAGCATCACATGGTGACCGCCTAACTTCACTTTGGGGCAGTACCAGTGGTGGTCCACACTTGTGCAATCCAGACACTGGTTTGCAGTCCTTTAATCAACCCAGCAAGCAAGACCCCATGACCCAGAAGAACAGGGAGGACTCATTTGACAATTCCCCAACTATAAGGAAACAAACTCTTACTCTTTAGAAGCACTCTTTAGAAGCCGGATTATTATTTGTAGTAAGAGAAGCATAAACTTCCCTTAGAAAAACAAAAGGTATCTACTGCCAACAGAAGAAAAAAATTTTAATTCATATTTATTGATCTAAATTAAAAAATTATTAATCTATCTTTTTTCCCTAGTTCATTCACTCATTAATCCACAAAGTGTACATTGAGCCTCTGTAAGGAAGCAGCTGATATAATCATGGGAAAAGAGAAACCAGGACTTGAGTTCATACTGTGTGGGCTTTAACTCACTCTGAAACACACCCGCTGTACAATCGTGGACATAATATTAGCCTCTCTGTCCTTCAGATTTTCCATCTGTAAACTAAGGAGATTAATAGCTTTCCTCATAGGATAAAGAATTTAAAGGATGAAATAATTAAATATGAGGATAAATTAATTAATACAAATGCAGGTCCTAGAAAAGTGCCTGGCACTCGATTTTCTTTTAAATCATCATCACTATAATTTAAAATCTCATGACATGCTGAAGTGACAATGATAAATAAGGCTGTGCTGCCCTATCCCCACTGCAGATTACAAATAAATAGGGCCATGAACTAATTTCGAACCAGAGCTTTAGCCTTAGGGAGAAAAGGGCTGTAAAACTTGTGGATATTCTAGAGCTTAACTCTCTTTTAGTCAGAAACTTTGGTATCCAATGTAAATGTCTACCCTAAACTTACCAAGCCAGAGCTTAAACAGTCATTCACACTAAATAGCAAATAACAGGAAAAATAAATAGCAGTCATCTCTCAATTACTAAATTACTTTCAGTTCTTATGTTATTTCAACTCTCCATAGCATCCTAGGTATTGATGCTCACACCCTCCTAGGGGAGTAAGACTCTTGGTTAACTGTCTGTCTCTGGAGTTCATATCTTCGTGATATCGCCACAAGTGACAACCCCAGTGCTCATGATCTTCCACTTCTCCATCTCAGCTATTTACAGTTCCCCTAACTCACCAAGCTATACTGAATGTCCCCCAATCCTTCCAAGGCCCATCGAGGGACTGCTCCATCTATTTCAACTCTCCCCCAAGAAGGGTCCACCATCCATTCCTCCATTCTTATCACCCTCTATTTACTTGTATTCCACAATTTCCTAATTCTTGCATTACAAATAAGTGCCTTTCACTAAACCATGATGTTTTTAAGGACAGCAATATAAGATCTCACTTTGTATTTGATGAATATAAAAACAAAACAAATAAGCAATAGTCTTTTTAATTTTTAAAATAATAAGATCCTAAATGACTTTAACTTTATTCCTTACCAAGCATTTATTGAGTGATTACTAAAGACCAAGTACTGTTATTCTTTCAATCCTCACAAGATCTTGTTTAATTAAGAATTTGCCTCTTTTGTAGATGAGGAAACTGAGGCTAAGAAAAATGACAGCACTTGCCCAAAATCACTCAAGGAAAAAATGTCTAGCACAGCTTTCGGACACCCACCCCTGGACATGTGCTCTTTTTTCCAACTCTAAATCTAATTAACCAAAAGAGCTGGCTCTCAGTAAGAATTACGGAATTCAAATGCCTT